CACAGGTGCTAGGAGGCCATTTATCTGGACGGTTGTGGTGGCGTTGTGATGTAGAATCTGGATCCAGCGCCGAAAGGACAGGCCAATATTCATTTTCTCCATACATTTATCTAAGAAAAGCCAGTCCACGTGGTCACATACCTTTTCAAAATCAATAAAGACCACGGCTGCATTTTGTTTATCTTGCCTGGTCAACTTAAGGAGTTCATTAATCAACAGAATATTGTCCTGGATATGACGCCCTTTGACAAACCCCATCTACGTTGGGTGACTGAGATCCTCTAAGACCGGAATCAGCCGGTTTGCTAGTGCTTTCGCTTGCATTTTATAAACAAGCGTGAGTAGGGTTATCGGTCGGTAGTTTTTTATATATGTAATGACCCGCCATAACACAGACTGAGAACACTGCTGATTTCTGAAGTTCTGCCGATGGAATGGATGCCTTGTCGAGATTCCTGCATTCTGCTGAGTTTTCTAAGTCTATATGTGTGCGTGCTTGTTGACATGCGTGCCTGTTTGAGTGCTTGTCGGCATGAGTGTGTGTGACCCGCAAGGGTACTTACTTGTTTGGTAGGCCCATAGGGCCGATACTTACCTGTGGTACCTGTGGTCGTGATATTGAGGGGTGCAGCAGGGAAAACACTCAAGTAGCGGAGCCAGAGGCCCGCGACACTTAGAGCAGCGGAAAAACACTCAAGTAGCAGGTAGGACGGTATCGCACCAAGTAGCAGTAGATGTGTCGGTACTCAAGGCCGAGCATAAGAAGACAAAGTTGGCATTTTTAGAGGCCCTGTAGTGGTAGGCCAGTACTAGTCCATCCAGTCTGAGTCTAGAGCCTGTACGGGCAATATCAGAGTCTGCAATGATGTTTCCCTCCGAAAGGGAGGAGGTACCGGTTACTTGGGAGGCTGAAGAAGACAAAGTTGGCATTTTTAGAGGCCCAGTAGTGGTAGGCCGGTACTAGTCCATCCAGTCTGAGTCTAGAGCCCGTACGGGCAATATCAGAGTCTGCAATTGTGTCTCCCTCTGAAAGGGAGGAGGTACCGGTTACTTGGGAGGCCGAGCGGCCTGGAAGTCACCGCCCAGGAGGCAAGTAGGTCGCTATATCAAGAGGCTGAGGGAAGAGCCCTCATTCTTCAGTGTGCAAGTTTTGGCGACACTGCTGGGGCGCTGGCTGGAGGAGCGCTGGATAGTACAGCGCGGCTCGGAGGAAGAAGCCAGGAATTTCCACCTTGGCTATGGTGGAGCTCTACTGGTAGGAGGAGGAGGGAGAAGAGGACCAAGGAGGAGAGTGGCGAGGTACCTACCTGGCTATGGTGGACACCATCTTCGTCACCTTGTTAGGCGCTGCATCTGGAAAGCCCCAGTTGGGGTAGTGCTGCATCAAGGAAGCTTGGGACAGAGTCAGGCATGGTGGCTGAGTGGGCAGCGGCTGCGTGATGTTGACCTTGGGGCAGGAGGGCAGCAACATAGCTGCTTTGGGTTGTCCTCTGGACAGGAGAGTAGAGCCCTCAGTACTCCGCCATAGCCTCGGCCTACATGAAGAGGAAGAGGAAGGGTGGCCATGGCTATGGTGGACCTCATGTTGGGCCTGTAGTAGAAGTGGGATTCAGACATTGATTCTGGCTCAGCCATTCAACATTATTATTGTTATTTCTTGTTTGAATAAGAGGGGAGGAGATAAGGAGGAGGAGATTGGTTGGCGAAGAAGAAGAGCATTCTCTCTCTCTCTCTCTCTCTCTCTCTCTCTCTCTCTCTCTCTCTCTCTCTCTCTCTCTCTCTCTCTCTCTCTCTCTCTCTCTCTCTC